CAAATTCAGGTTTGCTTGGGTTTAGGGCCTTTAGGGTCCCGAGCGCCTGCGTCTGATGCTGCTCTGCGAGAACCCTCTCAAGGCGGGCTCGGATGTTGTCCCGGACCTGCTTGTCCCGCAGTGGGCTACCCGTCCTTGGGCAACGGTTTTGGGTCGAAGGCTTCCTTGGGCTTGGGGTTGACTGTTCTGAAGGTTTGGTGTAGCATTTGTGCTGTACCAGGCCCCCTTGCTTGAAAACAGTTTCTTCTGAATAAGAGCCGGGTTCGATGCCTTGCTGACCGTGACTTCAACATCCAGGAGCCCACCGCCCCGAAGTTTCACTCGCCGCCGCTCGCCAGGGGTCACCGTGCCACTGGCCAAGGCAAACTTGTGACCACTGGCCCAAACCTCCACCTTGCACTGGACAGGTCAAGAATAGGGTGTTGGAGGTTAGAGCCTTGACATCAGGTCAGAACTTACATATCCTGCACGGCCCAACCCCGGCCCCGAAACCAAAAAAGGAATCCAACCCTGCAAGCCTCAAAGCTTGTAGGTACTGCGCCCGACTCTAAACCCCATGCCGAAGTGCTAGACTTCAGGCCTTAAACCCTAGGCTCTGCACTGCAGAGCAGCTGTGAAGTGATCGGGGCAAGGCTTTGGAACCTCCATGAAGCAGTCCATGCCAACCTGACTGTGGGTCGTCTGGGGCGGGTATTTTGACTAGATTTGTTGTTCTTAGTCTTGCTTGCTCGCTTGCTTGCTTGCATGGGGTTTGGGGACCCGGGGCCCCCTGGCCCTGAGGTCTACCTCCCAGGTTCTTTCTGTATTGCGTGCTTGCTTACAAGGGGTGTAAGGGCCGCGCACAACCCCCCGGGCCCAACTGTTGACAGACAATCAGCCTACCAAACATTGACTTGCTTCAGAGCCATGGGCGGTTGCAAAACATGGTTGTCATCCAAGGAGACCAGATGCAAATCGGGTTGCGACGCTCACACTCGCACAAGACAGGCAAGGCTCCACATAGGGTTAAAGGTTTCACAAGTACAAGGTTTACATCGAGACTCAGTCGTACTATGATGCATATCTTGTCCAGTTCGCCTTCTACTTCGGCATCATTTTGACTGTGACTCTTTCTACTGTAATGTCTATATGATTCTATATCTCCCCTTCCACAGCAGTTGCCGTTTGTGGTGGTGTTGGTGGTGGTGGTGCTGCTGCTGCCGCTGCTGCTGCTCTTCTACTGTGGCCAGCTTCCTTCATTCCACCCGGCACTCCAAACCCAAAATTTCCAACTGAAATCTTCAATCCCAACCCCCAAACCTTCACCCGAACCTTGAACCCTCAACCCGAAACATGCAATGCTGCCCAAGCAGTGAGGAGAAAGAGGGAGAGAGAGAGTAAGCGGGAGAGAGAGTGAGACTGCTGTTCTGGGATCGCCGGAAGGAGTCGCAGTCAGGCCTGGAAAGACGTAGTGAAATGAGCCCGGGATTACTAGAATTTAGCCTGAGGTGTAAAATCCAGACCCTGCAGCCGAAACGGTGCCTCTTCCCTGCTAGCTACTACTGCCAGCCAGCAACATCTGTGCCCGCGGTCCAATCGGCGACCACAAGATCAGCTCCCTGCAATATAGCACAGATCAACTCAAGCCTTTACGCAAACAGCAAGTCCGGATCTGGTCGGGGACCGTTTCTGCCTGTCAGCCACCGAATCCTGAAAATCAACTTTTCCTAGGTTCCTGGCTTCGGGGGAACATAATCATAGGAGCCTCGCAGTCAGACCCAAAATTCAACCACTTAATGGCTGCCAGAGCCCTGCCTCCCAAGACCAACCCCTATGCGCCTACATCCTTCCCCAAATGCTACGCGCCTTCACCCCGTGTTTTGAGCAGGGACTGTCATGCACCAAGCCCTGAATCTACCCTTTCAACCCCAAACCAGCCCTAACTGACGTAGTCCTGAGCGGAGGCCACCACACCGGGCAGGCTGGACTGAGACTTGTTCGGCAACTGGAATGCCTCGCCACTGAACATAGGTTTAAGCATGGAAACGATGCTACCATCTACCAACCCAGCACGAACATCAGTACACTAAGTCCACCCGTCACCCGACGAGTACCTTTGACTAGCGGCAAGGGCGCATGTAATTCAGAAAACATATCCAAACCTCTGTGGCTAACTGCTCTGCTACCAGAGATGCGTGCTCGCGTGTGGTCGTTGCATTCGCGTTGTTGCATTTAAAAACCACTCGGCACTGTTGCCCCGCCAAATCTCCACCGAAAGACAGCTCGGTGTTCGGCAGCGACACAGAGTAGACGGAAAACTTCACAGGCGTGAGCTCCAAGTCAAGACTGTCCTCTTGCAGCTCTCTCTTGCTGGCACTTGGAATTTCGCAGACTCCATCGTCGGGTGAGTCTGGTATATCCGCAGTCTCCGGCCCAATTTCTTCAGTGGCTAGACTCTGAACTTCAACATCGCTGGACGCTCTGGCTCTGGAGGGCACAGCCGGGGGCACACCTGGGTCTCTGTTAGCAAGCCAACCGACTCAATCTGAGCTCTTTCCCATTCTGGAAAAATAGAATCACTCCCTGACATGTGCAGGGTAGGCGCGGGAGGAGCTTGTGGGATTGCCGCCTCTGAGGGCCCTGACTTCCTGCTCGCATCGCTCATGCTCCTCCAGTAGCTTGGCTAACAGGCTCTGGATCCCAGCCACCTGCAAAGCGGACCACAACGTCCAGCATAGGAATGGGGTTTGGGGGTGTCGGCATGTTCCATGCAAGATACGGAAAGCCCAAAAGGATATCTAAGACGGCTCAAGCAACAATGTCTTGGACATTGCTCTGCTGGCTCATGTTGAGCGAAAGGGACTTCGCAGGAACTGCATCCATCGAGGTCTGCCCCCGCCACCCCCCCCACAACAGGTTTACCAAAACCACTCGCATATCACAAAGTTGTGTCACTGTTCTTTCCACCCTGAAAAACTCCAACCAAGCATCAATGGTCTACAGCTTCTTCCATGAAACCGAAGGCTAAACCTGAAACCATCTCAAACCCGAAACCCCAAAGCCAGACTTGACTGGAGCTCGAACAGCTGCAGCACAGAATAGAGCCGATGCAGCAGAGGAGCGACATGCATGAATTTAAAACTTCAGCACCAGTGAAGCTCAAGAAAATGGGTTCATGGTTTTTAGCCTACCCCCTACCGATCACCCGAGGAAACTAGCTGTAATTAACGGCTTGTCCAAGCTTCTTGGCTTCTTTCTCTACGCGCGGGAACTGGTGGCGGAGTCGCGGCTGAGAGCGGCACAACACCTGAAGATTACTCTTCCGATCAGTTTCTTGATGCCCCGAGAACCTCTCGACTTCAATTGTCGCCCAGTCCCTGGGTTTGCGTTTGCAGAGTCGGCTTCAAGCGGATACTATCAAGGCTGTGAAATGCAAACTGATTGAAGCCTCATTCCTTGAGTAGTGGAGAGAAGGTTCCATCAAAGCTGTGATATGTAAAAGTCGGCTTAGAGCACACATTCCGAAGCTTGTTTGGCTGAAGGGACTCCGCGAGCAGGGACCCAGCCTTCAATGCTGGCATCATTTGGCAATTACAAAAGAAATTCCGAAAGATTGGTAAGCAGGCCTGTAAGGCGTTCCTACGGTATGTGGTTCGACCGACGAGAACTCTTCATCCTTAACCGACGGGGTTGTGACAACCCTCAAATCCGTGCATAGTGATGCGAGGCAACGGAATCCATTGTGATGGCACGCCGGCAGCAGACGGGCGACGGCAGCCGCAATGAGCTCCTTTTGCTTCACTTTTGCAACTTTCATAAATCATAAACCTAAACCTTCAGATCCCTGGAACGAAAACCCACATACCAAACCCTGAACACCCTTGACACCGGAAGATTAGTTAACCCCTCTATACCGTAAAGCTCTGTAATCCCCACGCGACCGGCCCTCCACTCATTCCTACCACTTTTGCCTCTGAAGCTACCCACAATCCCGTTCATCTGCATCGTCAAGAAGCTTTCGACCCTTTTGGTTTTTGCAGCCCTTTCAGCACGGACCCTAAAGCCGAAACCCCATCCTAAGGAGTACGTCAGCGGGATATACAGCCCGAGCCCTACAGCTGAAGATTCGCCACCAGCCCCGGCCCCAACCCAAAACGCCTGGACCTGGACTTACAGCGGGCAGACCCAGGCATTCGCACAACACTGCTTCTTGGCTTTTGCCCGCTGTGCATGCTTCAAAGTTTCGACGGCTGGAGAAAGGTCAACACTTTTAGGGGCTTTGAGGCTTGCGCACATGAATTGGCTCAGGCTGGCTGCAACTACTTATGTCCAGCTCTTGCACGAACCGCTGCAGACCTGGAAATCGGTTTGCGTGGTTGGGCAAATGGGTGGGTCGGAAGACGATCTTCTGAAGCAAGCACCGTGCCAACCCGTCTTTGATGATTTTATGCGGCGTGCGAATGAAACCGACAGTTGAGACATTGTATGTGGCGACCGAGTAGAGTTCTAGTTGGCAAGCATCCGCGAACACCAGCAGGAAGGGCGAACGAAACCAAGTTGCCGTCATGATGCGACATGTGCATAGAATGGCATTTCGCAACGTCTTGACTATGTGTGCTGAGTCCCATATTTTCCAGCACGCCACATGGCCTCGTTGGCTGCATGGGCTTGTCTCCGCACCCAGCCCAATACCCGCTGAATTAGGGAGCATCCAGGAATCTACCCTCAAAGGTGCCAAATACACTCTAAGATATGTGTGCCTCATCTTCGAGGGTATTGGGCTCTCTGGGCAGTGGCTGGCTGCAGGCCACGCTCTGCATATGCACTTGCACAAGATCCAGCCAAATCGCTCAGCCCAGAGAATTGTAAAAAAACGGAGGCCGGGCAAGGATTTTGCAACATTATTCGTACTACTCATGTTGCCACTTCCAGTGTCACCAATGGATTCAATACTTTATTACTGCGATCACGAACAAAAATGTTATGGGTACTAGTGTCAGTGAGAGTTTCTCCCAGCAGGCTCAACTCGAGTCCGAGTCTTCAGATGAGCATTCACTGACACTTTGGAACCTCGACCTGGGCAGAAAGGCTGAACGGGCAACCAAGGCTTAAACCACTACTACGAAGAATTATAACGCTGATACTACTTACAACAGGAATAACGATAGAAATGCTATTTATCATAAGAATGGTGTGAAATGAAAAGTACGACTTCACATCAGAAAAGCAATAACAAGCAAACTACACAATAACAGAGCAACAGTGGAACATATCATACGAAAATGCAGCCGAAAGGCGTATGCTTTGACGATGGTGCTTTCAAAACCTTGAATTTCCGCATCTGAATGCACAACTTGCTCCGCGTCTCGGAGAGCCTGTCGGCACCTGGTGAAACGAATGCAGAGACGTGAACGCGACGTGCTTGAAGGCATCTCTTGCAATCATCCTGCAATCTCAACCTCAGCTCGGACACCATATGGGTAGTTCTCAGACTTTTGGGATCCCGAGAATGTCTCTGACAGGGTATTGCTCTTTTGGGAAAAGGGCCCCTCAGAATCTGTATGTCAGTTTATCAATATTTGAGATTCGGGGGCCTCGCGAGCATTCCTACACTTGGGCTCGCCGTGAACAAATCGCTAGGCAGGGTTGTACAGGCATATCCAGGGGATCCAATGGATCCAAGTAAACTTTTCCCTCTCGCATGGCTGGCAACTATGTCCACTGGAGGTGAAGGGGTTGCAATCGGCATGGTGCAATGGCACTGAAAAAGATGGAGAAGTACTCAAATCAACCGACATCTGGGACTCGTTACAGCAACATGGGCTGTTTTTCCATAGCATTGGTGCACTCAGGGTCCCGTAATCGACTCCAGTATGGAAACTCTGGAATATGAACGGAGAAAAAGCACAGCAGGAACGTAGGTTACTAGGCAGGCAGGCAGGGTCGTAGGGCAGGTAGGTAAACAGACATGTCGGTAGGTAGGCAGGTGACAGGCAAGGAGCGGGCCGCAGGGCACGGAAGCGGATTGCACGCGAACGGAAGGCAGAGAGCGGAAGTTGCAAGACTTGTGGAGTGCCTTGGCACGAGGCGGGGGTTCCGAATGAGTCCCCCAGAATCAAGGTATGGGCCATACCTTGATTCGGTATGGCAGCCATTGGCTGCACACAGCTCCCTGGAATTGATGCATGAAACAGGACATGGCCGTTGCGCCAAGTCAATCACATTGGGTCGTCGTGGTGCATGACATTGGACTCTGAGGAACTTGATGGTAGTTTCTACTTGATATTGCACGAGTGGTGTGTCGTCCTCGAGTGCGGTATTCTGGTGGACGCCATGGTGGGATAACAATTGCCCGGCGGAGGGATTGCCACTGCAACTCTCCGATCAACATGAAGAGACTGAGGGTATTCCACCATTGTCGGTCCTTGCTGACGATTACGAGGAACGCGCATTTGGCAAGCCATCTCTGGCGGGATTGCGCAACCTGCCGATTGATGCTGACATTGGCGATGATGAATTCGCCGTCCTTATGGCGGCAGCATCCTCCGTTGCCAGAAAAAGGAAATCCCGGGCTAGAGGAAAACGGAAAGTGTGCAACCCAAACACCCATCCATTCCAAAGGAGGTGTCCGGGAGTGGCAGCTGTTGCAAGTTGCAGTTGCCAGAAGTGGGCAGCGCCCAGACCCTGGATCTTGGTGCGAGAAGGGGGCTTGAAAGGAAAAGGGAGCCAATAATGCGAACAAAAGCTACAGCCGGGAAGGCACAGCGGGACCCAACCCCAACCTCCGGTCACGGCACCGTACGAGATGTTGGAGAGCGGCACTACAACGAAATGGGAAACGGGGGAGTGGGTCCGTGCATGACGAGGGTCTAGCCCCACGAGCAGGGCACAGGGTCCGGGAGTACTCGAGGGACAATCGCTAGGAGAAGGTTGTTAGAGCGGATAAACGTGACAGTGAGCCGGGCCGTATAGCTCAGGCCGCCATAGCCGCTCGGCAGGGCCTAGAATTTCCTGACAGATGCGGTGAGGCGTGCTTCAAAAACGTATGCCTCAAACCCCCTGCCAGTCGTATTTCACGACTTACTGCTTTGTTGATGCTCCTCCTCCCCCTCCACCCTCCCCCCTCCCCTTCCCCCCCTCCTCCGAAATCCTTCTCTTCTTGATCCATTCTCCTCCTACTCCATCCTGCTCCTGCTCCTGCTCCCCTCCTTCTCCTCCTACTCTTACTCCCTCTCCTATCCTTACTACCCTTCCCTACCCCTGCCCCTACCCTGTCTTTGCGCCTACCCTTACCCACCCCTACCCATCCCCTCCTCCTGCTCCTGCTTCTTGAACCCAGGCTCAAATCCGGCACCCAGACCTTCGGCTTCAAGCATCTTAAGATGAGGAATCAGGCAATGCCAGTCGTCGCACCGCAGTTTGCAAGCCAAATCAACCCTATCCAGCCAAACTACCCGCCAGTTGTCATGCCAAGCCAGGACCGCTACCATCATGAGCCACGGAGCATCAGCTCAGCAGGCCTGCTTAACACCATCCCAAGCAAAGCCATGTTCATAGACGGCCCACCGCACAGCTCGTTGTAACTCCCCGAGACGCCGCGGTACTTTTTACAAGGCGGGTCTCACGCTTTTGTGTTTCCCCCACCGTGTCTGTGATGTCACCTCAAACCAAAATAGCTTCGCATCAGGACGCCCGTCGCTTGGTCGGTGAAGCCATGAGCTGGATTTCCTGCTGCAGCCATCCTGTCAGGTAGCTTGCGATGACCCTGCGTCGTTGTAGTGTCGACTGGTAGTGAAACGGCAGACGTCGCAGTGCAGTGGTGCTCCTCCTGGTTCGGCATGTGTAGGCTGGCCTTCACCGTTGGGTAGCTGTTCAGAGTGTCCCACGCACGCCTTGGAGAGCGATGCCCTGCCGAACCGACCTTGATGATCTCACCTTGCCGGCCCTGCGGCAGGAAGCGCGCACACTCATTGTCCACGATGCCCTGCAATGACGCAGCAGACGGATCAGGACAGAGTAAGCGCCTGGGTTTCTTAGCCGAGGGAGATCGAAGCAAGGGCGGAGATCCCCGCGGCTCCTGGAACCACTCGCAGCTTGAGCCAAAACTGCTCGAGCCAAATTTGTTGTCTCTCTCTCTCTCTCTCTCTCGCTCTCTCTCCTGCCTCTCTCCCTCTCCCTCCCATTGTCTGCAAGTAAATTTCGGTTGGGCAACTTCATGTGTAGTGCATCCTCCTGGCTCTGTGCCGACCGTGCGAGATTCAGGAGCTGGTCCTGGACGTTGCCCCAATCCTCACACGTGGCGATGTGCTTCCGTGGAAACGAGCAAACATGCAAAGATTCGGATGATGTTGCGAGGGTGCAGATCCTAACAAACACGTAATGGTATGTGGCATGTGAAGGTCACCTTTGGGCATCCAAACTCTTGCGGCTCTTACACACCTACAACGTGGAGGGTCAGATGGTGGGGTGCATCAAGCGACAGGCAAGTAGCCAACCCTTTAAACAGGTCCCAGCATCCGTGGGCTGAACGAGGCGGCGCAAACTAGGCATGGAGCTGTCGTCACTATCACGTCGCCGAACGAAGCTCAAGTGAGCTTGGTCCACATCCAGCAGCGGGGTGGTAGCATCAACCTCGATTTCTGCCAAACTACAGCAACCCAGAGCTTCCGCAGATTGATATAGCAAACCGCCAGCGACTAGCGGTAGGCGGCCGACCAGCAAAGTCATCTCCTCCACCTCCTTGCCAACCTGCAGGAGGGAGTGTGAAGACACCTGCAGGCGTCTCAGTCTGAAAAACCAACAGAAACACGCGCCAACACATATCAACACATTCAATGCCCCTATACTCTCTACGACGAGTTTCATGAACCGCTCTGAAGCATTCCATGCTTCTCTGCACGCCTGCGAGACAGAACCGTGGGTGAGCGGGGCGGTACTCCTCGCTTGTACCAAACACACTAATCACATCTGCTCCCCTGGCAAGCGGTGGAAAGCAACATGTGTCCTATGTTGCCTGCCACAGAAACCTGATGAACAACATAGAGCCATGCTCAGGTGCGAATTTGCCAAAACGCGGAAAACCTTAGAGCGATTTCGGGGGCCCAGGCTGTTGCTGCGCAACTGAATCCTGTGGCGAAGGAACTTATTTCATTTACGATTTTCAGCCTTTAAGGTCGCAGCGACGGACAATGGATCGCAGCCGCAGAGAAGCAAAAAGAGGGCCAGTCACGGAAGAATGTGGAGCTTGCAGTGCTGACTCGGTGACAATGACAATACTCACCAGAGTAACTGCAATAATCATACGAAGACGGCTGCTGTGAATCATGATGCTGAGTCCGCATTCACCTCAAACCCAAACTTGCGAACATTGCTCACTGCGCACTTACCGGGGGCGCCTGCGAACTCAAACATCTTATACCTTTGACGTCAGACCCCGTGGTGCTAACACAATGTTTGGTGAATAAGACCACTAGTAAGCATAGTAACCATAATCATGATCACTGTACCATGCCCCTCCTATATAACATGCAGCTCGTGAAAGTAGCATCCTTGATGATCTCCTGTCGCTGGATTCTGTGTGGACAGGAGTGACCTCTACGTCGGTGCCAACGACCTCGGCAAAAGCTCGGCGTCTTTGACGTAAAACCTGATCCCTGTAATTCTGGAGCAAGATTGATATGAAGGTTCCCGTTCGGACCCTAGAACAACCCCTTAAACATCCCTAAACCCTACATCCGAAAACCCAACAGCGTATGACAAAATAAAGAGCACGTAACGTTCTTCTCCCAATCAGCACCCTGTGAGGATTTAGAATTTAGAACCAGGGTGATGCTGAATTAGAGTTTTCCTACTTATTGATGTGGCTCCTACAACAAGAGTTGGTTGAACAGTAATTACATCAAAAGAATGAATAAAGCTTCGGACATGATCCAAACCCACTGCTGTCGTTTTTGGACTACCCCTTGCGGCCCGTAGACCCAGTGCAACACCTATGCGACATTGGTGCAATCCCGCTCTAGCAGGCTGCAGAACATGCTACGGAACACCTCATGCGCAATTCCTGTTACTGCATCCATGATCACACTTTGTGAAGAATCAGGTATAGTTGCGCACCGCAGCCCAATGCTGTCGAGAACGCAACACTCTTGCCAATGTGAACGTAGACATACTACAAGAGAAACATAAAGAAGTCGACACCCCATGAAGCACCCGGATGACGGAATTTAGTCGGACAGTGTGAACACGAGGTGGAAACTCAAGGTCATCCTGGTTCTTCAGGTATAAGAGCGATCACCACGGACTCCCTGCCACAAGTGTGGCTTACCCAACGCAGCCGAATCGCCTCCAGAAGAGATCTTGAGTCGGAATCTTCTCGGAGCGCGATCAAATGATAGGTTTCCTAGGTTGTGGCTGACAGGTTACATTCTGTAAAGTACACTTGTAAGAAGTGAAACGTATCTTAATTGCCGAACAGTGTCTTCATCCAACATATGCGGCACATGGAACAGGTCGACTCCGACCGGTGGGAGCGCCGGGGCCGAACCTGTCAAAGACGTCCTCGGCGGACGTTTCCTGGGCACGAATCCACATCGGACATAATGGGCTTAGCTTAAAGCATAAGCAGGAAAGCACGTTGTCTACAACCTTGAGAAAGCCGTAACTTGGATTAACCTCCACATGCCTCATTCATGACTAGCCTCGGATACCCAGTTACCACACTATACCTGCAATACAAAGCAAGCATGCCCAGGCAAGAGGTTTTGCAACTTCCCGCTTATGCACTGCATGACCGTTATCTGTAAATCTTGGCCGGGCCGTCTTAACACCAGGATCCGACAAGGACCGTAATGCTGACTAAGAAAGTCACCTGCTAGAGGGTTCGGTATTGCACTAGGAAGCTATCACACGGGCCAGGCCCTTTCTAGCAGCCGCTACTGTCAGCAGGGTTTCTTGCCTACAGCCCAGCTGAGCTGGCCAGTGCAGAAAGACCAAGGAAAGTCCCAGGCCGAGGCTCGAGTCGTGAAGACCAGACGCAAGCCAACACTACACCAACCACTAGCAACTTGCAGGGCTTGGGGCTCCGAGCTTAGGGCTCAACCTCTGTGACTACAGCCGGTGCGAAATTTGTGCAACTGCCCCTGCATTTGAGCTTCAAGGACACTCGTAAGCACGGAGGCGCGCTGAGGCCAGGTGCGTTGGAGTGCTCAGACATGATGAAGCCTTGCGGCGAATGGCCGATGCAACATGCAAGCTTGCGGCAATTTCTTTGGAGGACCATCTGCCAACACGCTTTCTGCAATGAAAACACAGAGCTACAGTACTGGTCGACGGAGTCTTCAAAGCGCATCACTACCACTGCAAAACGGAATGCACCAAAACAAATATTGGAGGCCTACAGGATGGGAAGGCCACTGAAAGACGGATGAAGGACACCCGTAACATCGTCCGAATGCTCGACTCGGAACTCCGAAAGCGCTCACGCTCATCCTCCACCAGCAACTCCTCGAAGTTCTCGTAAAAACGAAAGTCTGTGGTCATCAGAAGAGTCCTGAATCTGAGCTCCCGTTAACGCAATTAAAGACGCGCACCATATCGTCATGCAACATAGAAATAACAGGGTTTCCTGTTTGTAGCAACCGGAAGTACGTTCCTTCGCGGTAACCTAGGGCCGTGCACACGTAGTTCAGTTTCAGACTTGCACCCATCATAACAATAGTACTGGTAGGCGATAAAAAGTGCAACGCTTCAACTACTCAGGCTGATCCTTGCAGAGATCGCAGTGTATATATGTAAGACTGGCCATAGTACTGAGCAGTGAGCAATATATTGATGAGGATGTAGAGATATAAACGGAAAATGTAGAAATCGTACCAGCGACAGTTATGGTAACAACCATAGTTAAAACACTATCATGAGCAGTAGTCACAGCCATTGTCGTCAGTCGCGATTTCTTCCTCGGCTGCCGTCGGCTTCAGTCTGGTCGTCCTCGTCATCACCACGGTCCTTCCAGCAGCCCTTGGCACGCCATCTCAAACATCATGAACTCGCACTGCGGGCCACAGTCACACTCACGTAGTTGATGGACTCGCCCTCACAAGCACAGCGAATTCATTCCGAGCCCCCGTGGAAAGGCGAAGCAGTAAATCGACTGTTTCGGAGACGGACTCGCGAAGCTTCATACATGTAGCTGAACAAGCCTCCGAAACTGTGTACAGAAGCCCTACAATCCCAACGTCCCTTCCGGAACCTGCTGATCGATGGCCCCAGGCTGAGCCACTTCACTGGACAACTGGGCCAGTGCGAACAGACGGCCCCGCCTTGCACCAATCAATCCCTTGCCCAGAACTCTTCAGAAGAAAGATTAACATTCACGGCGGCATGGTCTCCGAGGCCGTGCAGGCCCAGGCCGTTAAAACAGCACGCCAGCATCTCCCCTCAACACATATGGCGTTCGGCAGCGGCATCTGTAAAAAACTTTATAATTACCTCCGAACTCCGGAACAACGGACCAAGAGGACTGCTCCGAGTGCTTCCGTAGCCTTATAAGCATGATAGTCCCGAACATCGTCGACCGACAAACACACACCCGATCCCCTTCTAGCGGAAGCTGGCACAAAAGCACACCAGGCGGCAAGTCCTTCGAAGCGCCTGGGATGTGTTTCTCCCTGCGGTTCCTTCGTTTGCGGGCAAGATCTGACGGTCCTATCAGCATCCTGGCAACAGCAAGCAACTCGCACTTATCGTTGATGCCTCAGAGCCCCGGCAGATGTAAAGCCTACCCAGCTGGCCCGCCTTGTATGACCTTAAGGAGCTCTGTGCGCGTCGCAGTGATTCGAATCCGGATGGGGTCGGGCATCTCAGAATCATCCTTCAAGAATTTATCAGGCCGCTCATAAATCTCCCAAAGGTCGGTGACAAGAAAGGCGTGGGATCAAATTCTTTCACAGCCGAAGGCAGCGAAAGGCGCTCAGCCACTACGGGCAACGCTTGAGTTGCAGTGAAATTCCCATCCTGATGTTGGAACCGAGAACGGTCTCCGGAGTACGGGAGACTCTCAAAAATGACATAATTGCTCTCGCAAAGCACTGAGTCGATCAGATGTTGCGGGCAAACACAGGCCATTTCCGGGATCTTTCTGTCCCAAGCGGATCAATGAACAAGCAAGGGACCTCGAACAACTGCACATCCGGTCTTGTCCTGGAGACAGCGAGATACATCTTCTCCGTCGCAGCGAGGTCGTGGCTAAGAGCACGAGCCATAAGGTTAACCCAAAGCTCACAAGCCCGACGAAACCTCCACCTGTACCTCCCTACGTGTTCCTCCGGTTTCGGCCACACCCGTACGATCTCCTGGAACAAAATCCCTGGTCCCACGAGTTGGCCCATGACCTTCAACCTCCCGACCACAATGCCCTAGCCCTGCTGCTAACACAGAAGGCTCAACAGTAGCTACTGGCGTCCGAGGCGGCGGTCCCGGTGGAAGCCTCGTACCACCCGGAGAGGAAAGGCGGGGGACATAGGAAAACATCAGATAATATCCCCAAGCAATAAGCTGGCAAGCGGCAAACTGGCAACCTCCGGACGTCGGCACCAACGCTCCAGCCAAGCCAGAGCATCACCACCATCATCCGAAGGAGGTAGAGCATGCAAATCTGGGACATGCAGGAAACCGATTCTTCCTCGCACACTTTCGTCGGCTTTCTGAAGCAGTAGCCTGCCTAGACTTGGCGTAAGTGGCACCGAACGCCCGATCAGAGGCGCCGGTATGCGCCCGCCGCGTTCACCTTCTTGCTCTCTATGCCCTCCAGATGCAGCTGCATGGCAACCTTCCGGTTGAAGTCCAGCGCTGTCCGAGTCGGCGATAGCAAGGGCAAGCCCGGGAGGTGCTTTGATTTCCGGCTGCTCTTCCCCTTTGTTAGAAAGGCAAGGCGATCTTGATCAGGTCGTCCGTGGAAGCCGTGTCGAAGTCGTCGCCGAGCTCCCGTTCAGCAACCCCCGCCACCGTCTCCCCCACACGCCCAGGTTCGTTTCCCGTGCACCGAGGTGTGGGGTCCACTTGCTCCTGGGATCGGGATTGTTGCCTCCTCCTGTGCAGTGAAGTAATCCTCGAGACGGCCAGACTCCAACCAGCCCTGCACTGCGTCGTTCAGCTCCTGAATGTTGTTGGGCAGCCGCCGTTCATGGGCAACCAAAGCTGTCAAAGGGCGCTGTGTTCGCCCCTTCAGCTGCTCCTCACTTCCATCCCCCAGCTCCGCAATGCGGACGTCGATGAGCTCTGACTCGTCATCCCCGCCTTGGACACTCACCGTCGTCACGGCGTTGGGCCCGACGAAGGTGTCCTCCGAAGCCACCATAGTAATGCCATAGTAGCTCCGAGCTCCTCTGCAGCGATGGTATTCATGGGCACCGCGAGGATCACGCCTTGAGCACATACCCTCAGGGGCACAGCCAGGAAGAGGTTCGCACTGTCCGAGCGCCACTTAGCAACAAGCCTACTTCCTTGCCTTGGCATTACTCCCTGCTGGGAAATTGGCATGACGCCCCCAAACAATAGGCTTGAGCTTCCACCGAGGAGGGAAAGGAAAGGCACGAGAGACCACTCCGGGCGTCCAGCGTCCAGCTTTGTCCTTGACAGACTCAAAGCCCCTTGCGAGTGACCCTGGGCCAATCGCCGAGGTGTTGTACAAGATGTTCTGCATTGGACAAGGGTCTGCGGGCTTCTGCCTACCACCTTTCAGCGCACCTGCTCGTAGGCTCGAGCAATCCTTTTCTCCGGAATCCAATCCCTTCGAGGGGCCAGACGAGAACGCCGAAGAAGATGCAAAGGAGGGCCAGCACGAGAAGGCGCAAGCTTTGCCAGAGGATCGGTGGCCTCCTCCCTTGGAGCCTCAATAAGCCCCACTCAGCGGCGTCGTCGCTGCTAGACGCCCCTTCTCTGTGGCGAACTCTCATTTCCACCTCGGAACCGTCAACACTCACACGGACAGATGGCTCATCCACAATAGGCCAGCAAGCGGTGACGGAGAAATGTGCAACCCTGCTCCAAACTGTTTTCCGAGCGGCTTGCTCGGTACTTTTGGAGCTAAGCATTCCAGAGTTACAGAACGACTGAGCCTTGTTTCTGTGGGGCTCATCTGGCCCTTGTTTGGGCCTGGTGGAGCACCACACCCCGACCCCGCGGCGAGTGTGGAATAATAGAATAGTAGCATAGCACTGTCAACAAAGTGACATTTTGCTGCTTGTGCTACCGGAGCACCCATGTAATGTAGAATTGCCCCAACATGGCGACTCAAAATGATGACACGCACATGGTTGGTGTCAGTTCAGCCCAGGAGGGATCGTGCTGCATGTATATGTATATGTATATGTATATGTATATGTGTATGTATATGTATATGTATATGTATATGTGTATATATATATATATATATATATATATATATTACGTTATACATAAGACCTGGCCCGTGCCGCTCGCCTTGTCCACAAGCCTCTTGCTCGCCTCGTGCGTTTTCCATGGCCCCTTCCCGATCTTCTTCGCGCTCTCCTCGGCAGCCACCTTATTCTCCGGGCGGCCTCCGTCGCAATCTTCTCGTTGTGCTTGGCGTCCTCACCCGCCCTTCTTGTCGTCCACGATCTTCTTCAACTGCGGCTTTCCCCATGTCCTTCTCCTGGATCAACTTCTCAACGCGCGGTGTGTTGGCTGTTTCTGTTTGTCTCCTTGGTGTGCTCGGCCAAATGCCATTGGTCCTGCTTGGGCAGCAGGATCATTTCTAGGAGGCAATGTGGACCACCCTTCATTCCTTCAGAAGGATAGTACGTTCGTGGCGCTTCTGCAATGCTTGGGTGAACTTGGGTGGGTGGTGTCTTGCTGCGGTGACGGACCGCATGGAGCGTGACCTGGAACGTACGTTGCGCTTGGTGGGCGTCTTTCTCTGGAACCTTCTCCCTCGATTTCTGCGATTATGATTATTGGCCGTGGCGGATGTTCCTTGAAGATGTCCTCGCACTTGGTCGGCACAAGGGCATATCTGTTGTCACTTGCCATCGGGACGATACTCCTTCCACATGATGTATATATGTGTCATTTGACATCGGGGCAATACTCCTTCATGGCATTGGGCTAAGATCACGTTTCGATGCTGGGGCTGTGCATTCGGCAGAAAAGCACATGCGAACTGTGCGAATCCAGCTGAAACGTCCTGACTTTCAACAAAGGGCGCGTCTCCCTATGAGGGCTCGCGCCCAGGGCCTGCTCAAGAAGAATGTTGGCTCAACGTGCCTTCGTGATAAACAGCTTCTGCGACACAGACTCAGGGGGGACGGGACGAGAAACGGAACGGGCTTTATGCTGAACTGTCTTGAGCTGCAGCCTGACCTCTGGAACGGGCCCTGGAGCCATATCACTATCGCCCCGTATGCAGTCAGTGTTGCGGATCTGTGTGCTTCTCGGCGAGGGCGGTCCTGCGCGTTTGGCGACCTCGTCGTACGTTTGTCAGTCATCTGAAGTTGCAGAGTCGTCTTCCCTTATGTGGCTCCTCTCCCCACAGCAGAGACACGAACGCTTGCTTTCAGGATCTACATGAGAAAGAACCATCATCAGCATCATCATCACCCACGTCTGAAGGACCTTAGATGTCACCGTTTTGTGTGATCACCATGAGCAAAATCATCTGAAGTTGGTTCTCCCCGCCCCGACAACCCCCCATCCCCATTCCTGACAAGGACCTCCCCGTCACACCCGACGCACATATCAGTTTAACAACCTCAACATGCGAAAAGGTGGGTCTGCCAGAGGGCTGAGGCCTAGTAGTAATAGCAAGAGCAACAGAAATAACAACGGTCGTGGTAATGGAATAGTGCCAAGTGTAGCAAGTCAAGCAGCAGCAGGAGGAAGAGCAGTTGCAGTCGCAGTAGCCGTAGCAGAAAAAGCAGCAGCAGCAGCAGCAGCAGCAGCAGCAGCAGCAGCAGCAGCAGGCAGCAGCAGCAGGCAGCAGCAGCAGCAGCAGCAGCAGTAATGTGCAATTTCGTGCAGTCGCCATAGAGAAAGCCAGTCATCGCAAACCACAGCCATCTCAGGATGGCCCCGTGGCCTTCATGCTTTACAGTCAACCCCATAAAGTTCCATAAAGTTGGCAAAAACATGATTCGTGTTGGTCTTCTGCTGGAGTTTGATCTGTGTCGCCTAAACGAGTTCAACCAAGTCCAGGCAACAAATAACAACAAGGATGCTTGGAGCACAGAGCTTGTAAACAGCTGGGCGTCTGCAAGCAGCTGGCTTCACCAGAGACCCGTAGTTTGCTGTCCAAGAGCACTTCTCCATCACACACTCCACGCAGGACCCTGAGTGGTGCCACACAATGCCCCGGGCCGACCGAATGTTATGGCATACATGCTGGCATACATACTGACAGTAACCATGAGTGGTAGTCGTCGTAGTAGTAGTCGTGGTGGCAGTTGCTGTTGTTGTTGTTGCTGCTGTTGTCGACGTTGATGTAGCAGCAGCAGCAGCAGCAACAGTAATAGAAGAAGTAGATATAGTAGCAGCAGTAGCAGTAGCAGCAGTAGTAGTAGTAGCAGCAGCCAGCCTGCTCCTGTGACCCCCTTAACTGGCTCTACAGCACCAAGAGGCTGAGGATTACTACTACTTTAGAGGACCAGGCCGGCGACGACTACTATTTTAACGGGGCAGGCGGGCGACTACTTTAGAGGAGCAAACGGTGGAGTACTACTATTACTGTAGCGGGGCAGGCAGTGGAGTGCGAGGAGCACGCGGCGGACTACGACTTCTGATACTACTATTGCACCTGAGGCTGGGCCAATTAAAGCCAAGCCAAGCCAAACCAAGTCAAGCCAAATCACTCCAAGCCGAGCCAAGCCATTTTAAAAGAGAATTCCTCTCACCATTGTGTCAGCGGAAAACCCTAGCTAACAGGAAAACCCTATCTAGTAACAGTAGGAAACCCCTCTCCAATAGGAAAACCGTCTATCTAATAGGAAAACCCTACTAGTATCTCATAGTAAAGCCCCATCTAATAGGCGCACCTATCTAACCAATAGTAACCCTATTTAACAGGAAAAATTTATGTAGTAGGAACAAGCCCTGCAATAGAGCAGTGTCCACAAGCGCTAAGAAAGATGCTCTGAAACGGCTGTGGCATGCAACAAAAGAGGGGAAGGGGGGTCACAGGAGCAGGCTGGCGTCTAGTAGTAGTCGTAGTCGTAGCAGTGGCAGTAGTAGTAGTAGTAGTAGTAGTAGTAGTAGTAGTAGTAGCAGTAGCAGTAGCAGTAGCAGTAGCAGTAGCAGTAGCAGTAGCAGTAGCAGTAGTAGTAGTCGTCGTCGTCGTCGTTGTAGTAGTAGTGGTAGTAGTAGTAGTAGTAGTAGTAGTAGTAGTAGTAGCAGTAGCAGTAGCAGTAGCAGTAGTAGTAGTAGTAGTAGTAGTAGTAGTAGTAGTAGTAGTAGTAGAGTAGATAGTACTAGTAGTAGTAGCAGCAGCAGCAGTAGCAGTGGTGGTAGTCGTTGTCGTTGGTGTAGTCGTACCATGCTAGTCGGTATTTACGATACTTCCTATCACCCTACCAGTTTGGGTTGCCCGCTTTTCTGCTTCTCGAGTTGGCAATTTCGGAACCAAAGCCTCCTCGGCTGAGGTCTGAGCTTGAGGTGTGTTGTGGAGCCCCTCTCACCGAGAGCTGGCATGTTGGTCAGTTCCGGCTTCAGGTGTTAAGAAATTAAAACCTTTCTAGCACAACTTGTGCTTCATATATAATGACGGCGTTCTCGCACTATCCTGCCACCTTTGACTTAGAACTTGCCTGTTTCCCTGCCGAGTTTGCAAATTCAGCTACTGTCGCAGTTCTGGAGCCTGAACCCCTTCAACTTTAGCCGCTGCGACACTCAGGGAGCGAGAGATAGTAGTAGTAGTAGTAGTTGTTGTTGTAGCAGTAGTAGTAGGAGCAGTAGCATGAGCAGTAGCAGCAGACTTACCAGTGCTTGTCTAGCACTTGTTCCCGTACCTGTACTCGTACGGCGACGATGGCGACCGACCACGACTCGTACTACTACTACTACTACTACTACTACTACTACTACTACTACTACTACTACTACTACTACTACTTCTACTACTCCTACCGCTACCACTACCACTACCACTACCACTACTACTACTACTACTGCTACTACTATGCTTCCGCTGCAGGTACCGCTACCGAGACTGCTACTGCCACTGCTGCTAGTCTTGCTGTTAGTACTATACTGCTGCTACTACTACTACTACTGCTACTACTACTACTACTACTACTTCTACTGCTACTACTACTACTACCACTACTACTACAACGACGACTACTACTTCTGCTATTGCTACTACTACTACTACTGCTACTACTGCTACTACTGCTACTACTACTTCTACTTCTACTACCACTACCACTACAACCACTACCACCACTACCACTACGACGACGACTACTACTACTGCTACTGCTACTGTTACTTCTACTGCTACTGCTCCTGCAGTGGCTCCTGCTGCTGCTGCTACTGCTGCTCCTACTGTTGCTACTGCTACCAACTACCACGACGACGACTACTGCTACTATTGCTGCTGCTGCTGCTGCTGCTGCGGCTAGTACTACTACTCATGTCATCATTACCGCTAGTACGATCTATCAAAGTCAGCAAACTATCAGCGGCAATGGTCATAGTAACGGGAGCGGCAATAGTTCTGAGAATACGAAAACACGCTACAAAATAGTTATAGCCACAAGCACGAATAGTCGTAGCAGCAAGAAGTCGTAGTTTTTCCGAATAGTGGCACTAATGGCTGTCGCCGGCAATGCAATCATGCCAATACTACAGCAATATTGACGGGAGTAGTGCAATCGAACGGAGTAATGCCAGCACCAAGAGTTACCTAGTTTAACATTTTTGCTGGAGGCTTGCTTGCAAGGACGCCTGGTTTAACATAAAAACGAAAATGAGATCCATAGATGTCCAGAATAATCTCATTAATGACAACAAGAAGAAAAGGCGAGTGCCTACAGCCCGGCACCTTCGGAAGCTCAGGACCATTGACTCCGAGTTTGTCAGCAAGGCATTCCGTGAGCGATTGTGAAATTCCATCAAGCCGGCCAGGACCAAAATGAAAGCCAGGACCTGACAGAAGGCTAGCAGAGGCTTCCGGCTTCTTGGGCTCTGACACGAGTGACTGGCAACTTCATAAGCGTGAGTGGAAAAGTTCTGATGCAGCTGGGACTGATGCACTGGGATGCCCCTATGTTTGGTACAGCTGCTCCAAACTCAAAAGCAGGAGTACGAAGAACGCTGCGGACAACCGGTTGAGACGCTGGCATGCCGTGCATTCATCACACGTCCAACAGCTACTAACAGAACAAACGACTCGCCACGACAGCTTGCGGACGAAGCCAAGACGCGGTCAGCTGATGAAGGCAGGAGATGTGTAGAGAAGCGGGATCTCGCTTCCAAGCATGCCACATTTCCAGTAAGCTTAGCAAAGACTGAGCGGGAACTCCAATTTGAAAATTTACAAAAAAGGTGGCCACGGCAAATCGAACAGAAATGGTTACGTTCTGAAGGATGAGAGCATTCTGGCAGTCGCCGGGAAAGCCATGGATCCACAAGCCGACCATCACATACATCACCTTGCACCGCTGCAAGATCCAAGTTAAAGACTTAAGAACCCACTTGTGCCCGTGGAATTCGCCTCCACATAAATAAACTTTAAATAAACAAAAATCCGAAGCACTTCTTGCGAAGCTAGGTTGCAAGAACAAAAAGTCTACATCTCGTTCGGTCCAACTGCACGGTGCCAGAGCTGATAATCAGATGCATCAGCCATGCAGACATGGAAATCACCAAAGGCCAACGAGAGTGTGCGTTGTCGTTCCATTGCAAGTGCAGCATTTGCCCGAAGGTACAGATTGCCGCGATGTGCATACAAGCCCTTGAAGAGCAGCGATACTGTTTGATACGGGCATCCCACAGAGCGCGGTCCAAACGTTCGTTGGATTTATGCCCATCCAGCCCATCCCACACAGCCGTGGCCACACGACGTAGAATCACCATAATTTCCTGAAGCAAAACGGGGTAGGGTCGTAGTTCCAGTTTACGGAGATCAAGCAATTGCCAATTGCCATCCTAGCTTCCCCTGACATCGTCAGAAAACAGCAGTACTCCAAACATGGGCATGCCCTGAAATCCAACAATCGCCGTCAGCAAAGCCTGGAAACAAAGCTTGCTGAGCAACTGGCGGGAGTCATACCCAAAAACACAGCAGTGAGACACGAGCAACGCAGCTCCTGTGGTCGTCAGCGCTCCGGCCAGATCCATCATGATCGAAGCAATTACGCGTTGAACTTCTGGAGCCAGATCGGAGCGCAGCACAGAAACAACATTATGATAAATATAAACACACACATATACATATACACACAATTGTAATACAAGCATCTACATATACATATATACATACACACATACATACATACATACATACACACACATATTTATATGTATTTCTGTGTGTGTGCGCGTGCATATGTAATAATACGTCGGTAGAGAGATACATAGATAGATCGCCACCATCATGGCTAATATGGCCCATGAAAGGAACAGGAGTCGTGAGCAAACGAGCAGCAATACTTGGCAATGATCTAGACTTCCTTTCGGGACGCGCTGCTCTGCTCTGATGTACATGGAGCACCTCCGTCTCACTGCTACTTCCGTACTTCTACTTACCACTATCTACTGCGGTATTGCATGCTGGAATATGACATTTGAACACACAATCTCACTTGGCTCTCGTTTCGAATGTTGCGGCTGAACTCGCCCACGACGCGTGCCTTCCTCACCTGTGGTCCACAAATTGCCGGTTGCAGGCATACAGCTCTTGTTCATGGAAGCTGGCACAATGATTTAAGCACTCAGGGCCTAAATTGTCAGGATGTGAAGAAGTCCTGGAACTTTGAATGCTCATCCAAAGCTCAGCTGGCTGCCTCTGCGTGTCTGTTTCGCTGGCAAGGCTGCATCAATGCTTTTCTGCGCACAGAGAATCTGCGAAACTCAGGTTCTCAAAACAACAAGTCCTGGCGGAAGACGGCAATGTGATTCTCCAGAAATTCCTGGAAAGAAGGCTTGCCGTCAGACTTGTCGGCCAGATGGTCAAACATTCCCAGCGCAAACTTCCGCAGCTCCTAGGATGGACATGGTAGCGGCATGCATTTGTAGCGGAGTTGTGTCGAAACATGAGGCTGCCAACATAATCAAGCGGCATCGGCTGCTTCATAGTTTGTCTCCAAGCCTAGCTCACCCAAGCAGTAGAGCTCCGCCAAGTGCATGCATGCTAGCGGATGACCCTTGCGAGCGATTGCACGAAGCCATTCCACAGCACCTGGATCTCCTTCCTCGCGCAAGCGCATGGCAAATTCAAGCATGGCTTGAGCATCGTCCTTCCGCTTTGCCACAACCTCCAGCACTATACGATCTTCCGAGACCGTACCAGCGGAAATCACGGGATGCGAAAGACAATCTTGAACACGAAATCGCCCCACGAGCTCGTCTTTGATCGTGTAGGTAGATCCGTGGTTGGTGTTGCCGGGCTTTTGCCAGGTCATGTAGAACAAACGTCTTCTCGAACCACCGGCCTGCGCTTCCAGGTTGGCACCCCCGCAATGCAGCAGCCGGGAATTCATGAAGACTGCTGAGCCAGCTGGACAAGATGCCTTCATGCCACCTCCAAACTGCTCTGGGCATCGCTCCGCCCCCGGCAAAACCGAGAGCCACTGCTGCAGGTAGGGATCATCATGGGTGCCAGGAAGAAGGATGGTGGGCCCCATCTCGTCCGAAATGTCTTGCAGTGCAATGAAAACGGTTAGCAGTGGAGCACATGCGGTCTTCCAGCCACCAGTGTCTACGTGCACGTTTTGCCTCGGTGCACCAGGGTCTGTGATCAAACACGAGAGTTCCACCAATGCTCCCGCAGCTTCAACAGTTCCATTCAGTATAGAGCCAAGAGCAAGCACTGCCTGGTGCAGAGCTTCCTCGACAATTGAATTCAATGGCAGCTTCAAGTCCCACCGCTGCTGGCGGTCGCGCACGGTACCGAAATGCTCTTTCATAAGGTCTTGGCGAAGGTCATCCGACTGACATTCGATCTCATGAAGCACCCTGTCCAACTGGCTGTCCACAAATGTGAGCAAACGCTGGCAAACATCGGCGGAAAGCACACCCCGAACTATGCCACAACCATGCTGTTCCAAGTGAGCGACACAGCTCTGAGGAGCTAGCTGGAGATCATCGCAAGTCATGGGATCAAGTGGTTCCCAAGTCAAAGGCTGAAGCCGTGGAATCTCGACTCGACACTTGCAGCTGCAAGGGCCCCCGCGTTCATCTGCACAGTTTCTTGCATCGGAGACAAGTTCAGTACAAGCTCCCTTCGGCAGCGACAAGAACTCAAAATACTCCGCCATTGCGTCGTTCGGCTGGATCTACATGCACACGGTTCAACCACCGCACGGAAACCAGGTACCCTTCAGCTGAAAATGCTTGAGGACCGTGATCGCTCAATGTTCTCAGACCTACACGTGCATGTGCCAACTACGGCCAATGAACTTTCGAAGTGCCAGCCAGACATGTCACCACGTGCCTCTTGTTGACGACCCTTGTCTTCACATCTTGCCTTGAGCACGGCCGTGGTAATAAATCAGGCCCTCGCGACGATGCCGACCGCTCTTTGTTGGCAGCAGAAAGCACAACAGATATTGTGTGTGTCCCTGTCTTGCGACTCACAAACCTACGCCGCTAAGCTTTCCTGCGCAGAACTGAGCAAAGTGCACAGACAAAACGCCCGTTTCGTCAGGTTGTCTATGCGCACCATGTCTTTCTTGCAATGCAGCATTGATGCAACTCTGGGAATGGGCAACCTTCGGCATCCTTCCCGAGAAAAACAAAACCAAAGCTCGAAAGCAACCACTTTGTGGGCAATCTTCGCTCTTACAAGGGGAGAGTTCAACTCCCCTCCCACAGGGACTGTTATGGGCACCAAACAGGCTCTGAGAATCCACCATGGGTTGTCCGTGGCCTTGAAAACATGCATTCGGGATGAGCCATAGAAGCAATGTTAGAGCCCTTGGCTCTGTGCACAACTTTGGGCAAGAGCGCCTTCAAAGGACGCTTGTAAGGTTCACTGAAAGTGCGGCGTAGGCGACGCTCCTCCTCCTCGGAAGCTCTCTGCCAAAGATCTCGCAGACCGCCTGCGGTTGCCTTCAATGCTTTCGCTTCAGGTGGCCGCGGCCCTTTTGCAGGCCGTGCCTCCTGCACGAATCCTCGTCGCACGAACAGATCCAGGCTGCGCAGGGTCAGACCAGGCTTGTCCGTGCCGTCGCTGGCTGCGCTGGCTGGCACATCCTGGGAGCCAGGGCCAGGGGACTCCTTGCCCGCGGCAGAGAGCTTAAAAGGCATCCACGCACGCATAGTCACCAGGCGTCTGCAATGTTTCTGAATGGTCATTGGCAGAGGTGTGTCGCAAAGGTTCAGCTTGGCACCTTTCAAAGAAGAAGGGAGCACTTGCACCAAGTGGCCAACAGATGCTTCTGAAATATTCTGACAGCCGTGGAAGCTGATGTGCATTACACAGAGGTCAGGCATGGATTTCATTCGATTTGCCAAGGACTCGATGCTTTCGTCCGAGATGTTGCAGAAAGCGAAGTCAAGCTTCAGAAGTGTGACCCGTGGCAAGCCCTCTTGTATGGCAACCACACCTGCATCAGTAATGGACTTGCACCCCTTCAGTGACAAAAGAAGATGCTTTAAGCTGCAGAGGTCATTCAGCATCTCGGCCAATGCCAACAAGCTCTTGTCACTCAGGTATTCCACCACCGACAGATCCAGATCCAGAAACCTGGATGTGAAGCGAGCTGTTGTGAAGTGCTGGTTTCGGCTAGTTCGACTAATTATTGCCAGCTCCGAGAAAGAGTCATTCATGTCACAGCAAATTAAAGCTCTACCGTGCAGGGCAGCAAGCTTCAGTGACTGAACGCTGCGAATGCCTCGACACAAGCTGGCCAGGCTGCGGATCTCAGAATTACAAGCCAAATTCAGATGCAAAGAGGTCAGGCCAGCAGGAAGTGAATTGGACAACGCATCCACACCTCCCTGTCCAATACCAGAGCACAACCTCAGCATCTGACCCTGCATGAAGCATCCGAAAGAAGTAAAAGTGCCACAAACGACCAATGGAACCACGTGTGAGTGAGCCGGGACGCTTGAAATTCAGCCTCAGGGTCCGCAGCTTGGCCGGCAAACATTTGGCTACATCTTCCATGCCTTTTGCGGTTACATGGGGGCACATGCAGAAGTTCAAGTCCACGGTTGCCAGATTCTTGTGCATTGATCGAGCAAGTGCCGCCATGTGGGCATCGTCGATGCGTGATGCACAGAAGCTCAATTCAATGCAATCTCTGGCTGCATGTGCCCGGATGCAGTCTGCCAAAGCCGTTCGTGTGCGTTGGAGCTTTCCGCTCTCCGTCTCTAGCACAGGGAACCACAGCATCGAAGCGAACAAAGCGCGCAGCTTTACGTTCACTTTCTCCTCAGCAGGCAGAGAGCAGAAGCAGGCACGGCCGAAAGGCTGTGAGAGAAACCATGGGCATGTTTGGTCCAAGAGTCCAAGAGCCGATGAAGCGGCACAGAACCGATTTCCACGCCTCGTTCTTCCAAGAGCTTGTAGAGGATGCGGTTGCGGTCCAACTTGCTCGAAGCATCCGATCTCTCGAGGCCAATGTCAAGGGCAGCTAGAAGAATCTCCTGACATGATCAAGGGCTGTTGGGTGGAGAAGGTCTCAGCACTTATTCCATGCCAGGCTTCTGCCGGAAACGTCTGCTCTCGCTGGCTCTTCTGCTTGAAGCCAGCTCCGGGATTCTGGTGTTCAGTCTTGCGCTCCACTTCTGTCAGATGCTCAGTCAGAAGCTTCACACCTTCTGGTGAGCAGGCAGCCTTTGTTGCTGCAGAAGCTTGATCGGAGTGCCATGCTGCTCACCAGACATGCAGCTATGTTCGACGGGTGACGATGTCCATTGCCTGGCGTCGCTCCATTGCCAAAGTGATCTCCAGCAAACACCTGGGCCCGTGCCGAAGAATGCAAAAGGCTAAGGCAGGTTTAATAGTTAACTGACCCACGCAGATCGTGAGCACATAAGCAAGGTGCAGCAGGCTGCATCTGCCGGGCAGTTCAACACTGACATTATGTGACTAAAATGCGGTGAAGACGCCACGTTCGGCTGAGGGGAACTGAAGAATTGCCCAGGGCCAGTAATATTCCACGCGATTTGCTCATGGCCTGAGATTAGCAAAAGGCGAAGCTTGGAAGGCCGTATACTTCACCCTGGGAAAACTGAAGCGCAAAGTCTGAGCTATGCACGAGCCAGGCCGGAGAGCTGTAAATTCTGTCTGGCAACACGTCATCCTGCCCATACCGATGTGCGTAGGCCCATGCCCAATATGGGGTGTCATCCGAAAAGTGTCTTGTTCGAAGATGGTGGCGTACACATTGCAGTATGTCTCCGACAGGCTGGCCAAAATAATGGCTCAGATAGTACTCTGGCTCCTGCAGACGGATTCAAAGACTCTCATGTCTCATGCCCTCCACTTGTCGAGGCCTTGTTTTGCCTCCTGCATTGCGAGCGAATCACAAAGCACGGCTTGGTCCCTACGCCTATCCCTAGCACGCATGCTCTGCCGATGTCCAGCTCCTGAGGGCAAGTTGCGACCATCTCCACAAATGAACCGCTGTTTGCTTCCGACACCGGCCGCAAAATCCAGTTCACGACGTCGTAGTGATCGAGCCCATGGCTGGTTAAGGGCTGGATCTCCGAGGTAGACAGATCTTGCCATCTGTCGCATGCAGACACGGCATAGTTCCTGCCCCGGCGAGCGAGTTCATCTTGAATGACCCTACCAACAGGCCAACAACATTGCACTCGCACCCCCGAAGCTTGCTAGCCATGGCGCAAAACCTCTGTTAACTGGTCGAAGGTAATCGCTCTGTCTTCCGGCGCATCTATTCTGCAACCTCGTCAACTTGGAAGTCCGGAAGGGTCTTGGCAAAAAGATTCTATCTTCGCTGGTGACAGGACACGGCTTGAATACCTCGTCGACAACAAAGCCACGTGATGTCGGTCGTTCGGCGAGCGAATCAATTCAAGCACCTTTTGCCGAAGCAATGACACGTGAAGCTTGCCAGCCACTACTCATGCTACAAGTTTAAGTAGCTTTGTCTGAGGACACGTCTGGGCTCTCCATCTCCGCATGCCTGGGTTGCTCATGCTTCGGAAAGGAGTCCAAGACAGCACCGATTTGGGCTTCCATGCTTGCAATTGTAGGGATGTGGCACTTGCACTGCGTCTGGCACATCCGCAGCAGCCATCGCCGCCGTTGCATCTCCCGTAATTGTGTAACCCTGTGCTACGGATCTTGAGGAAACTTAAGGAATGACCTTTCTTGTTCGTTCGACTTAAGGCAAGTGTTATGCGGGAATATGCTTCCGAAATCATGTTGCATCCAATCGAACAACTTCAAAACAAGGACGAAGAGCTCAAGACTGCATCCTCTGCACTGCCCCAGGGCATGCTTGACACGGACCTTCGAAACTGTGCTTGACCAAAGTCAGCATCAAGCAAGCATTGCCTGCCAGTCTGCCTACGTTGTGCTACCTTGCATTGCTTCGCAAAGCAAGTAATAGAGGTATCCAAGCTAAAACATCTCTCTCTCTCTCTCTGCACGTAGGATCATTCAAGCGGCAGGCGCCTTATCCGCTCGCCGCTTCGGTGCCGGGCTGTCTCGGACGACTTTCGCGTCCACAGCACTGCGATCAATCACGGCCCAGCCGTTAAGCACTCCTGCCAAGTATGGCCTCAGGTACGCGTGCGGCATGCATCATCCAAAGGAACGTTGACAATAGTAACACGAAGCCAACGACAAAGGCATGACCATGACTGGATCCCGCCACGAAACGTGGCCGGCACAGGCGGCAAAGGTTCTCCAGAACTTGTCGCGGGCCCGGTGCTGAGCAGGTTCTCTCTCGGCGGAAGGGTTTGCAAAGCTGGACCTCGGGATCCGTCCTCCATCACCATCTCGGGCATGGACATGCCTGAGGCACGTGCTGTCTCTTGCCAGGAAGGGCGACTCCAGGCGACTGGACGGTCTTGCCAAGGAATGCCGAGCAAGTCATCAACATACTCATCCAACAACCCATAGGCTTCATCAGGTGATGCCCCGGCATCTACCAATGGCGTGGGTGATTCTCCGGGGTGCTGCTTCTCACCCCTAAGATTTGCAGAAGGTTGATCAGCTGGTGCAGCTGGACTCGTGGCCGTCAGCAAAGCCTTCCAGTTGTCATCGCCTGTCAAGCTCTACAGGCTTCACGTGCACACAGCCACGGGTATCTTATCCAGCAGTACCCATCCGCATCTGGATTTCTTGGTCCGTCAAACCTCAGGCGTACGTGAAGCAGCTGCGACATGCTCGAGGCCTTCCGGATCCTTCGTCGGGACGTTCGTCGCTTGCGGGAGGTTGGATGTGCCGCATGCCAGGCCTGGGCAGATGCAGGTTGATTCTCGCCAACAAAAAGGGCTCCAGTCCCAAACCCTTCTTCTTAGCTCCAAGCCCATGTCCACCAGAGTTGCCCGGCAGAGGAGCAGCTTCGGCAGCTTGGTTTAAAAGTCTGTGCCGAGTCTATGTCTCCAACCAGCATATCATAGCATAGCATCCCCAAAAACTAACGCAGCCTGACGGACTTGCGATCCTTGATCATACATCATATCTGTTCTCGCGTACGAGCTTGATGCGCATGATCTTGCAAAAAAATAAACGGTGAGAGCATGAGTTACCGGCATTGTCATCGCCTTACACACGCGTAACAAACATGAAGGTGCAGGCAGCCTTTTAGCAGCTCGGTGTCACGAGACTTCACGTGTGGGTCTTCTCCATCACTACTTTCGTCGCTGCTCAGGAGGTTATGGTGCACGAAAGATGCGTTCTCCAGCTTCTGGCACTTCTTTGCACGGGCATCTGCGAGGCGTGCTGCACGCTCAGCAGCTGTCACACGAATGGCACCTGCGTAATGCGAAAAGCCCAAGGCAGATGTGCCGGAGGAATGCTCCAAGGCTACGCAAGAGCCCAGCAATGATGTCCGTCCTTGGTTCTCCTTTCCCAAGCCACTTCCAGCCTTGTAGCCCATTTTTTCCATCATCCGCATTGCGTTGGAGCCGTAGGTCTCTTCTTGAAAATCCTTTTCAATCTCACCTTCCAGCTCAACATGCTCAGAACTGATTCGCAGTCCAGCTGACTTGTCTTCGTTGCCTCCGCGTCGCACTTGCTTGTACCTGGCAGCGCTTGTCTCTACTAAACCGCCATCTCGACTGGCATAGAATCCTTTGGCTTCGTCTGGGCTTGACCACTGCTGATGCCTGAAAGTGCAGGCAGCTCCCTTCTCGCATTGCCCTCGCTGGAAGAAAGCGCAGAATGGCACACCATTCGGATTGCTATGCGAGAACGGACAGGCATCTTTGTTGCAACCTTTGGCGCTCCCGAAGAATTTGCAGGAAGATTCAATCGAGGAAGTCGTCTGCTGCCGGTCGCTGTATGATGCGTTGGCCGCTGTACTGCCATCCGTGGAGCCTTTTCCTTTGGACTTCGCGATCTTACCTTTGCCTTTGTCCCACTTACCAGGAGGCGGCATTGCGTGGCACCGCACAGCTGGAGCCGCCTACACTGCAATTGGTCGCGAATGTGTTCATGAGCATGGCGTTCTGCTCTAGAACTACATATGTGCTACCACGTGGTGCTCCTACCGACGCCACCGTGCCTGTAGGAGGTCTATGGAGGTCTCACTTCATGGGAAGCTCCAATGCGCTTATGTGGAGACGTAACCAAAGTGCTCTGTCCATCTAGCACGAAACAATGCAGGCCAGCACCTTGAAAGCGAGTGATACCATTCACACGCTCACGCCGCTCTGCACTCTGCGCAGCACCTTACCAGCAACCCGAACCATGCCGTTGCAAATGTCTTTTCAAGACGAAAGCACAAAATGCGCTGCCAGTCACGTCTGTACTTGTTGCTAACACGTGTACTGACGAGATGCGAGCCTAGAAGTGTTCTGAATCAGATGCTCGAGGATTGGAGATACATGGTAATTGGGGTGTGAGTACGCAATGCGTCTTGCAGGCTCGTCTTACTGAGACTCTGTGCATCTTCTCTCCTTTCAGGTGTCAATCACGCTCGCGGCTTAGCCCACTCCACCTTCATGATCAAGTTGTCGTAGCCGTGGCCGTTCAAGCGATCAATGGCTCTCTGTGCATCTTCCCGGTTGTAGTACGTGATGAATGCAAAGCCCTTGGACTGATACGTCGTCATGTCCTTGGCCAAGAACACTCGCTGAAGGCGGCCACACTGACCAAAGAGATCTTGCAAGTCTCCCTCCTTGACATCATCGGACAAGTTGAAGACTCGCAGGGTGGCATCCTGCTGTCCCGAATAATCGCCTCCCTTCCCCTTGCCCTTGCCCTTGCCACCATCACCCTGCGCTCCACGTAGGCTGGGCGGCACGTACTTGCCCGGTGCCCCAGATGCAAGAGTTGCTGATGCTTCGGTGCTGTCCTTCTTCTCTTCCTCCCCGACACCTACCTGGTCCTTCATCTCTTTGTTGAGGTCTGTCCACACTTTCTTCTCCTTCAGCAAGCTCTCGGTGATGGTCAAACTCTCCTCGAAGAACTTCTCTTCTGCGTCATCCTTCTGAGACAAATCCACGTGGATCTTCTTGGCGGACTCTACTGGGATTTCTTCCACACTTCTCATGCACAAAGTCTTTTCATCGGCCTCAGAGTTGGTGGCGGCCTTACCGAACTTCTCCAATGATTTCCGTGCTTGAATAGCATCATTGGTCCATTTTGTGGTCACAACCTCCTTGACCTTCTTTGTGATCTTGTAGGTTCCACCGTTTTTCTCGACGTACTCGACAACGCTCTTGATCCCGTCTTTGTCGGCCTGCGTTTCGAAGCGTCCCTGTGCTTCTTGCATGGTTGTCTCCTCCTCATCGTCAAAATCTGCCCACTTCCGTCCCCATCGCGTTGCGGACATATTGGCTTTCAAGTTTTCAAGCTCGAAGCTCCCCAGGACAGCACAAATCAAAACGGATACTATTGTACCCTGCGTTCGAGCCAGAACGTGTGAATCAGGTGTCCAGTGCCAGTGCACCAGCATGATCAAAGAAGGCCTTACCACAAAGGTAGCGCACTCAGTGGAGGCCAATCACACTCAACGACAGCAAAATCATCAAACATCGATGACTTTTCTGAAGACATCGGTCTGGTAGATTGTCTGTGCACGGAGCAAATGCCTGGTCGCTTTGGAGGCCAGCAACACTTATCTTTCCATGTACTCGCATCTTGTGGGCTGCTGAGGGTTGGCTCAATCATCACCATGTCACAATCTAGAGAAAATAACATGGTTAGGAACATTCAACTGTACAATGTACAAGTTGTCTAGGGCTTGAACACCTCATGTAAAATGAGAAGGCTTCCACTCGGCAGTACTTCTGGAAGCACCTGTGGCAGGATGAGAGTGGGGAAGGCTGGCAGAGATTCAGGGCATGGTGTTGAAGTCATCAGGGAACACCTCGGGCTTGTACATATCCATGGACTTCGGGGATCTTTGGGGCTCGACCCCATCAGAAGGCTCTAAGGTCGCATTAAGCCTATGTCGTTCACTTTGTGGTCCATTGCATGAAGCCCGGTGCGAGCCATGCAGATTTCGTGAAGGATGTGACATATGTTCGGCGTGGCAGCTTGGAAGTTTGAAGATCTGTTTGATGAGGAAAGTAAGTGTGGCATGGTAAGCTGCCGGCTTCCATGTGTATAAACAACATCCCGAACTAGACAACTCAAGCGCTCACGGCTTGGGCACTGCCTCTCCAACTTGATACAATACTGCAACAGCCACGAGTCCGAATGTGTTTACACGTCCTTCCGACACAGCTTGCCGAATTCCAAGGTAATTTAATTAGCTGCGTGCGGCCCAGTCATTCATTCCACCGCGCGACACTCGCGATAACTCTCTACCCACAGAAAGAACAGAACCCCTCCCCCCCACACCGTCGAAGTAAAACACCTTCTGCTGCGCCTTCAGGAAACCCACTAGCAACCCACCCAGTCGGGGAGCTGTGAAGCTGTGATGTATTCTGAATGACACTTGAAGAGCTCGACCATCCTTCTTTGCAGATTGCTACCGACTATTCAAAGCCGGTCCCGCCACTCACTGGCATAACTACACTATGCCCTCCATGCGACCGCGGCCTTCATGAAACAAGTTCAATGCCTTATAATGCCTTTCAATGCCATGTAACGTCCTGAAGGGAACATTGCAACAACTTACGCCGAATGGCTGTCCCGTCATCTGCAACAAACTCGGCAAGTGACTCGAAGACCACGACAAACACTGGCCTGATTCATGATGTCCGTGAACGAGATGGAGATTGGCGACCTCCAGCGTGCAAAGCTAGGGTTCCGCTCCCTGGAAGACTTCCTTGTTTACCAGCTTCTGACCTAGCCTCCGTCAACATACTTGTTGCCGACATACTTTCCGTGCATCCAGATGGAAGGTGCAGCCGCCGAAGAAGTCAACTCTTGCAAATCCTTCTGGTGCAAATCATGTGGCACCTTGCGAAAAGCCACTCCGCTGGCGAGCAACATGTTTTCCGCCTCTTCACAAAACGGGCAGCCAGGTTTGGAAAACACAACAACATCGGCCGCCGTCGTGATCGCAGCTGTAGCTGCCAAATGCGAGGGGGAGTCCACGCAGGCCGTCTCTTGAGGTACATTCTTGTCCGTGTCCCCACCGCCTTGCAGCAGTAGAGTCGTGCTGCCAAGGAGTACGCCAAGCTGGACGCCAAAAAGACGGCCTAAAGTTGCCACGCGTTTGGTCTCCGGCATCTCCAGCTGCTCGGATGTCAAATTCGCAGTGGGTAGTCCAAGCCTTCCGGCGAACGATTCGATGGTCCCACCAAACAGAACCCCACACGAATCGCTGCAGAACAATCCAATGGCTGCGGCTGTGATGGAAGAGATGCCAAGCCGCGCGCCCAATACAGCATCCATGGTAGAACCAACTTGCGTCATCACAACACAGTCCACCACACCGAACCCAATCATCGGAACCGCGCTCTGCAACGCATGAGCGCGCAGCTGTTCTCTGGATGGGCTCTTGCTCTTGGCAGTGTCCTCGGCAAGTCCTGACACATTTCGTTGCCAGGTTGTGGAAACACCTGCCGCACGCCCCGCAACATGAGCAGACCTGTACAGTCTTTGCACGATCGCTTTCATTGCTACGACAAGAGCTGCCTTCGAACCAAGCATGTAGCATGTCACAACACCACTACAGCATCCACGCAAAACGATCCTCGAACATACTAGAACTTGAAACCAGTTTTTGGTGCACTTATGTGCACTTTAAACCCAACAAGCATAACCACAACATCACACTCCAACGCATGCAATTATGATTTATATCGGGATATGAAATCTTTCTGCCACGACTGTTTTCGGCTAGCTGACCGAGGAATGAGCCCACCGAGGGCAAACCTTCAAAATGAGGTGCTGTGCAGGAGATCTGGCCCGTTTCGTCTCGAAACTCACGCTCGACGCGGGTTTATAGGGTGTCGCACGTTTGTATCGTCGGGGACAGTGCGAACAGCAACGCATCTCCCCTTGGCCAGTTCCACTCCTCCCGCGCAGACACCTGACAAAGCCCCTATGCCGGAAGGCGGCCTCCCGCTTTTCCCTTGCTCCCGGCCCGCAGGACTTCACCTCCGAACCCTCTGCAGGGGCGCAAGGGCAGCCAGCGAGCAACGGCACTGCTCAGGGTCGGTTCTACCTCTCAGGCGGTTTAGGTCAGGAGACTTAGGGTTTGGGGTGCGGGGTTCGAATTCTAAAGTTTCCAGCCGTCAGGCTTAAGGTTTTGGGGTTGGGTTCTAGTTTCCAGCCCACGCGGCTCATGATGCTCGCCCTGATGCCAGCTCTGACAACATAACTTCCATGCATTTAGGCCCCATGTTGACAAGGAAAACACGAATCTAAAACTTGTTTTCTTTAAAGTGCCGCTGGAGATTGGTGTTTGGGGTTTTTTCATCGCCGAACGTGTGGCGACAATGTCTGCCATAATGTGTGCCAGTTTTCTTCCGGAACTAATGGTTCTCTCCATGCCCATGTCACAGTACACGAGGCACTGAATGATGCCGTAGGACCGTCGTAGCTAGCGGATTTTCTTTTGCATTCGGATAGGTCCATTGAGAATTCAGACGTAGCTGTTTCATGCTGTTTCGCTTAGACGGACCTGCTTCCTACAGGATGCCTCGCGAAGTGGCGCTCGGAGACCGTGCACGAAAACACACACGATCGAACTTTTTTTCCATGGCACGAATGTCCTGCTCTTGCCGCACGTTGTTGTGCAGCCTCCTACTGTACCCCTTCTCTTCCCTACCCGCCACGTGGCGGCAGGCGGCTCGGCCCTGCTGCGTCCGCAAGGTCGAGTACGCGATCCAGCTCTCCGGCTGACCGTTGGCTCGCGTGAAGCGGCGTCGGCCAAGCTGACCCGAGGGCAGTGCTTGTGACGGCCTGTTGTACCGACACAGCCAACATTGCCCACCAACGTCTGGCCCATCCCGACGAAGCAGCACTGCACACGGCCGGCGGAGCTCGCGGAGCACGGACACGCACAAGGTCTCGGAGCAGCTGGTGTGCACCGGCGTTCCACCGGCCGCCGATCTCGCTTCCGAGCACCACCAGCTGTTGCGGGCCACCGTTCAGCTCTGGGTAGGCGGCTCGCTTGCGGCGCAGGCTGGCTCCGTCGTGCGCGGCAGCGCAGGGCTGCGGCAAGCCCGTGCGTGACAGCGGCGACACGAGTGTGGCGTCGCAGCACAGGGCCCCGCCGAGAGGCGTCGCTCCGTAAATGACGAGGTCCAGGCGGCGCCGGTCATCGGAGCGGACGTTGGGTGCTGTCGTGTGGGCGAACCACTGTTGGGGGACCACCTGCCCATGCATCTAGACCGACGGCCTCCCGAGCTACGCGCACCCACGCGCGTTCCAAGATCTTCGGCCTGCGCGCCATCAGACCGGCGCGAATGCATGCGAGGGCGTGGTCGCCAAAAGCAAAGCGCCCACTTCTCCTCCGCATCCGGGTGGGCCACAACGGCTGGCACACAGGGGCAGCGGGAGACGCAGGCGGCGGCGCAGTGCCAGGAGCATTGCTTGGGCCGGAAGCACGCAGGCCGGCTCACAGGGTATTGCGGTCAACCAGGCACCGGCCTGTGGGCCTGCTAGCGACCGGAGGAGGGCGCATGCGGATGGCGACAGGGAGGGCAGGAGCGTGCGTTCGCGAAAGTAAAGGTTGCGAATACGGGATGCACAGCACTGCCATCCATGTGGCCAGTCACCCAGGCCCTGATCAGTCGTACGCGGTGGACGGGCGCCCGCCCCGATCGCTTCCCAAGAAGGGCGCTCGTGCCAACCTTCCGCCTGAAGGAGCTCGCGTGCCTCAACTGCGCTCTTGAGGCTCTGCGCTCGCCCTGCAGCGAGCAACCGCGTGCAGGCATCCCAATATGCGGCCGGCGCTGTGCGAACAGCAGAGCTGAGGCCCAAACCTCCGAGGGCTGCCGGCAAGGTTGCCATGTTCTGCGCGTGTGTAACGTCTGCTGTGGCCACGCCGCCGAGGCAGAGCTCCAACGTCTCCCACAGCGCTGCGTCATGTGCCTGCGCATGAGGCTCTATACGGCCTGCGGGGGCACGGTGCGCAGCGCGTGGTTGGCTCGCGGCGAAGGCGCACATTGCCAGGAGAAACCATGCGCACTGCAGATCGGGGAGTTGCGGGAGCTGGTGCAGCAGCTCTCTCTCCGTCTGGAGCCCCTGTGCTGCCCACGCTGCGACGAACTGCGGGTGGCCAACCGGGCTGCCCAGCACAACCAGCCCACGCTCTGCCAGTGGCTTGTCCCCGCGCCACACATCGGCCCCCAGCTCATCGACTCCGGGAGGAGGCGGACCGCCGGCATAACTGTACACACGCGTCTTCCCCTCGTTTGAAGCTATGCCGCATTCCGTCTCGACGACTCCGACTACCATATCGCGGGCGGCACGTGCTCGCTCGCGTGTAGTCAGGACGTACAAGTCATCAAGGAAGGCCAGCAAGCTGTTCGACGCATGCAGGGCGGAGGCTGCCTTGAGCAGGGCACAATGCTGTCCCAACGCGAAAAGGGCCGGGGCCAGTGGAGCACCTTGCTCGCAGCGTTCGCCTTGAGCGATGTTGTGGCAATTGCCCTCGCTGTCCCACCAGCAATAACTTGATGGCTGTCCATAAAAAAAAGCGCACGAACGGAACCAATGCTGGTGCAGCGGATTGGAGAGCGGTGAGGAAGGATGCGCGAGACATGGTGTCGTAGGCGCTGCGGCCATCAAGCGACACGAGAACTGCGTCCTCCCGCATTTCGAAGGCGGTGCGCACGTGCGCTGCCAAAGCATCGGTGCCAGCTCTCGCCTGCAGCGCGTATTGGAAGGGTCGAGTCGCCTCATCGAACACATGTGCAAAAAAAAAAAGCCCACGTTTTGGCGAGGGCGCGCGAAACAAGGCGGCGGAAGACGTCGCCGGTTGCGATGCCACGCACACCACCATCCGGTTTAGGTAAAGCTGTAAGGCGCGCCAAAGCGAGTCCCGACACGATGTCTGCTGGCACATCCGCATTCGCCAGCTCGGTCGCGGCACACGCGAGGAGCTCCAACGCCGGCACGTCTGCGAGCAGAATTTTGAGGTGCTCTGCACGCACGGCTGTGCCTCCCCGCCGTGCGTCGCGCAAACCAGCCGCGACCCTGCACCCCAAAAGCCGCGCCCAGTCACCCTGTTGGAAGGCTTTGTGGCGCTCGCAGGCAGTTCCTGGCGCCCCTGCGCCCCACGCTGCGTTGTGCGAGCGAGGAGCATACGGGGAGCAAGAAGGAACAACTTGCATGCGCGCGAAGCAGGGGTAACGTCCGCGGTGGGTGTGGCCTGCTGGTGGAGTCACGTATGCGGCTCAGTGCAGTGACCAACGCCAACCGAATCGCTGCTCGCATGAAAGGCGGTACGTCTTGCAACGTGGGCACGGGACATCGCAACTCCGCCACCAAGTCAACTGCATCCAGCGTGGCCCAGGCTGTTTCGGGAACACTTGCCGAAGCGTGCATGGTGTCCGGAGCCTCGGCATTCGCGGGGCAAGCGGGCACTCCACCCTCGCCTTCTTCGCTTGGCGGGGGTGCCGAGTTGTCGCTAAGCGCGTTGCGGCGGCGTGCTCGTCGGCGACCCCGTCGGAGCGGAGGCGAACGCCTTGCTTGGTCCGCTGCTATGGGCGCGGCACGCACGTCGTCGGCCAGAGCCCGCGCGGCTGCCGCAGCCGCCGCGGAACTTGGGAACAAAGCCTCACATTCAGTCTGAGTTTCCTTCCCATCCTGCGGATGATGTCGAAGCCCTCCATGCAGCATGCACGCCCTGTCCTGCCGGTCGACACTGTAGGGGCTTTCGACCATGTTTCTCGACTCGAAGGGCTGCGCCCGCGGCCTCAGCTTTCCACGGCAGCGAGAGCCGCTACGTCTGGACCCCAGGTTTTCGCGGTTTTAGCAAGAATCAGCTAAACTGAAGGTGTAAAAACAAGTGCGAAAGCAACAACATTGCATAACATTGCAAAAGGAAACGGATTCCACAGTTTGCAAATGTTTGCAACATGTTCTGGGTCGCTGTCGACACCGCATTCGCCGGGCACCGACCCAGAGATCGCTGGATCTCGCCTATGCCATCGGCACGTCGCAAACGAAGCGCGCGGGCACCAAGCACCCAACTTTGTGACTCGTGGGCTTCCGTGCCCGGGCAGCCGCCCGTGCATCCCAGGCTGCTTGCAGATTGCCTTGATACTTGGTGGTTGACTTGACTCGACTCCGCTTATTGAAAGTCGACTCCGCATGCTGTGCACCAGGGCTTGGCAGTGCTTTTCGTATCATCCACACATTGTCTGGGTGTGTTGCTTTTGTTTTTGTTTGTTGTGTTGTGCGCAGGCTTTGCGGCATTTCGATTTTTTTATGCACACTTTTTGCGACCAGTATGAGCGCGATCCCAGGGCAACTGCAAGCTACGCTGCTGCCTACGGAGCTAACGGCTGCTATCGGCTGCTCAACACCCCGCGCTTGAAGAGGTGCAGGGGCAGCTGCGGGACGGGGAGGCCATCTTTGCGTATTTCGACGACACGTACATCGTCGCCACCCCCGAGCGCATCCACGAGCTGTACTTAGCATACCAGCGGGCATTGTGGGCC